AAAATTAATAATAAAAAAGAAATGTTAAAAATGTTAAATTAACAATTTATCAACTGTAACTAAATGTAAGATGCAATAATTTAGAATCTATAGTGATTAATTTACTACTCTTAAAATGTGAACATAATTCAATTTAATTACAAAGTGTATAAATTCACACTAACCTAGTGACAGAATTACATATATATTTTATTACATTATTGCACTAGATTTTTTGTTTAAATCAAGTATAACACGGTATACAAAGTTATAGATAAGATTTTGTCTTTATAGGATAGAATGTAAAGATATAAAAACCAACAAAAAATAATATTACTTATCAGATATGCGTCGTAAATAACTTACGCAAAGTTAATAAAAACTTAATTGACAAAACGTATACGTTTTGACAGTAAGAACATGAAAATTCGTATGCAAAATTTGTACTAATACCTTGTGTATTATATATTATCAGTGGCAAAATTTGATGCCATTAATTATTAATAGTCATTCCTTCAAGCCACATGAATCACTAACTTTCGTGTTTCATTTGGCTGAAGAAATGATGTTAGATTGATTTTCTATAGCATTTACGTTCTATTTAGTGTCAGCCCATTGGCCGGACATTAGGCGTCATTGCGACTTCATTGATACAAGTTTCCTTGAACGCGCTCGTGCCTCTGTTCGAATATTTGTATATTCAAACCAAAGGATATTAGGAATTAATGTTGTATCACGAAGTAATAGATATTCTGATATCCGCCTAAAAATTCAATACCATATGTAAATATTTTTTCTCCCTCAAATTAAAATTTTTATAATAACAACTTACCATGAAACAATTACAGGAAAAATTGGTGTAAGAACTATATGTGTAATTATGAACCATACTGTTCCCAATATAATACCTATGAATGTACCACATAGAACTTGAGAAATAGTGTGGTATAATAAATAAACTCTACTGTATGTCACTAAAATAGCAATAATTATGCAAGTGGCTATGATAGTAATTCTCCAAAATCTTTCAGAAATGCTACTATTATTATTGTGATGTAATCTGCAAATGAGTGCATACAAAATAAATATACAAAATGTAATACAATTTAATTTCTTTGTACATTTTAAGAAAACAAATATATTACCTGACACATATGAAGAATGTGGTATATGCAGTGAAAAACCACATAAATTGTGCATGCATTGAGGGCATACCATATTCAACATAAACACTGTCACGTCTCATTGGCCTTGCTTCACAGATTGTGTGTTTTAATATAAAATTGACACATTCATTAATTATAACACCGCTAAAAAATGTAATCTAAAAGGAAAAAATCAATTTTAGATAATAAGATTAAAAGTGTAATTTATTCAAAATTTTTACTTACTTACTGTGTGTAAATCTCTTCTAAAAAGAATCAATGTTATAAAACCAGCTATAATAGCAAATGGTACTAAACTTATTAGAGCTAAAAATTTTCCAACCAAATCACCTGCAAATCAAAGGAAATTTAGATAAATTTCTTTCAGTACCTTAATTAATTAAATAAGATTTTAACATAAACACAGTACTTAAAAATTTTAAATATTACATTTTTCAGTAAAATGGTAAGTTATAAAGATAGTTAAAAATAAGCATTCTTATTAAACATATGCATGAAGTTCATAGTAAACAAAAATTATTTAATACACTGAAAAATATACCAATTAAATATAAAGATCTCGTTAAAACATATCCGTAAAATTTTATTAAAAGCGTTTCTTTACTAAACAAAATATTTTTCAGTTAAGTATATTTATCGATAGAAATTTTTACATAATCAAACAGCGGAAAATAGATCGTTTTATTGAAAAATTTTAGAATACTTGCCTTGGGGGTACTCGACTAAAGTAAGAGACAAAGGAATCCATTCTGACTTTTGCACAGCATCAACAAAATGCGAATTAACTTCATGAAACGAGTCGTCGTCTATTGATGCCATATTATCGAAATTTTTGAAGTGACCATAACTCGGACAACTCACCGCGCAGCAACGATCATGGAATCCGAGGAATAGTGGTAGAAACTTGACGGTAACTTCATTGTGCATATAGTTTAACAAGATCCGAAAAAAAAATAATTTTCGTTAATTTTTCTAGCGCCTACTTATTTGACCAATCATGCTCGATATCAACTATCTATATAAAAAATTTAATCATTGTATCGCAGTTCGATTTAGAAATTTACAGACGTCTGTTGGTAGAATGAAAAGATTAAAAAAAAATGCAATTAATAATTCAAACAAAGAATAGATTCTTCTATTATAAATATCACATTACGTATATTTTAACTATACCCTGTGTAGTAATTAAGTAAATATCATAATTGTGATAATAGATAATACGTTTATTAAGACGATATAATAATGAAATAAATGTATAATTTTTAATTCATTTTATTTAACAGTGCCTATTGATGTTTAAATGAGAAATAAATTCGTAAAATATGAAATGTAATTATATAGTAGATACAACTAGTGACTTAAAAAAGTAAAGTTACTATTTAAGTCTGCAAAATGCGTGTGCGTCGTGCACTGCACAAGAAGCGGGAGAGGTAGCAAATCTGATAGTTGCATGCTGCTTTACTCGGTATTTGCTTCCTGTTTGTGGTATGAATTTTATTTGCGAGTCGGTACGTTGCGTGTGTCGTTTGTGACTTCAATTTGCCGATTGTTTTGTATATTTTCGAAAACTTTTTAAGAAATTGCGTTTATTCTACGTTTCACCATGTCCTGTATGCTTGTACAGCCGACTACAATTTTTTAGATTATATGATGGGTTAATATTTTAGGTAACGTAAGATTCTTTGTATATTGCATTGCACATTATGAATGTCATTTATGCAATTTTTCTGTGATATGTGATAATGTTATATGCTGATGACAACGTACATATACATATAATATTATAACAAAACATAATAGCAAAATTTATAAATTTTATGATAGTTTTATTCGTCTTTTTATTTTTATTTTTTGTTTTAGAATTTACTTTTACTTTAATTTGTTATGTGTAATGTATTTTAATAAAATTATTTGTTTTATTTTTTCGTTTAATTGTATTTCATTATATGCTTCATTCTGTTTGTAGCATTTGTATTGGAATACTATATGACATTCTCTAAGACACATGGCAGACCAAGATACCATAGATTATCATGCACTTTGTGCAAATGAAGAAGATGAAATCGAAGGTCTAAATGAAAGGTTAATACAATTATTATCTGCAGAGAAAGTTCCGTCACACAGCATTGTTGATAGTAGCATATCACAACCATTGTGTGACATTAATAGTAAAAATGATGGCCTTACAGTTGAAAGTAAGACATCTGTTTCACCATTGCTCAGTCATTATAAATATGACTGTCGCTTTTCATATCATGATAGTCCAGTTAATTTTTCATCTCTACCAACGTATCTCCCACCTGTTGGTGTATTTTGGGACATAGAAAATTGCCATGTTAGTATGAGATTTTATGATTATCCATTATTGAATTATATTGTGTAATATCATATTAATTAAATGTAATATTAATTTCAACTATTATAGGTACCAAAAGGAAGGTCTGCCATGGCAGCAATACAAGTAATTAGAGAGAAATTTTTTGGTGGTTACAGGGAAGCAGAATTTATTGTAGTTTGTGATGTTTGTAAAGAGAGTAATCAGGTTGTGAAAGAATTGAACAATGCTCAGGTAAATTCTATAAGTATATTACTAAAAATATTAATTATTTCATTGCATTATATTTTATTAATATAGCAGTACATTTATATGTATCTTATGTCTATTAGGTTAATTTAATACATGTTGCTAGAGAATGTAAAAATGCTGCTGATGAAAAACTCAAACAATCTATTAGAAGGTTTGCTGATATTCATGGAAGTCCAGCAGCTGTAATTTTAATATCTGGTGATATTAATTTTGCTGCTGATCTCAGTGATTTACGTTATAGGAAGAAAATTCATGTGATACTTTTACATATGAAAAATGCATCTGAAGCATTAATATTATGTGCCAATGAGCATTATGATTTCTCAGAACTTATGGAATCACTGCCACGCAGACCTATAAGTAATTTTTGTAATTGAAATTCTTACTTTTATATAATAAACTGTTTCATCATAATTGTCATAAGTCTTTTTATTTCCATATATCAATTTATATGTATTAGTGTTATTATCAACAATTTTGTATTTGTAGTAATATGGATGTGTATGTAAAATATATTTAAATGTTGGACGAACGATTTTTGTAAATGTTAAATGTTAGCATGCTAATTTTTTTGTATATACATGTTTTCTAGTATTTTGTAAAATTCATGTTCCTTTCAGGTTACTACAAATTATGATCTTCTAGTTAGTAACCTTCCTGAAGATCAAGATGTTGTATCCATTAAACGTTGTCTTAAACAAATGTCTGAAAGCTTTGGTGGTCGAGTAATGGAAATTGAATCAAATATTGCAATTATACGCTTTACTTCAAAACCTCTTGCAGACAGGTACTGTATATATATGTTCGGTTTATATCCTTCCATAAATTATGTTTCATGTGTGTATAAGGTGTGAACAATAATTTCACTGTAATTATAGTGTCAGTAATAATAATATCAGGGTTCATTTTATATTTGAATAACCCGCCCTTAATGTAGTCAGTGAATTGTTCCTAACCAGACATTTTATTGGTCTATTCAGTATTAATGAAAAAAAAAACGACATTGGAAGTGGTAGGGATAAATACATAAATAAGATAGAATTCAAACAATGAACAGCAATGTAACGAACATAGTGGCACTGTAGAAATACCATAATTTTCATTTATATAACACAATTCGTTTATGTCTGTGGTAGTAGTTAGTGTTAAAAAGTTATTATTTTTTGGTATATTGTTATTATTTATCATTTTATTTGTCTATATTACAATGTTGACATGATCCAATGATTTTATTTATATGTAAGGTAAGCTGATGTATCTGGTAATTATAATCATTTGATTATCATAACTTTGGAAGATAGAAAACTTCTATGAAGTGTATGTATCAAATAAAATGCATACAGTTTCTTTGAAAAATCAACTGACATCTTAGTTGATATCAGAAATATGTTTAGTAAAATCTTCAAGGTCATTTATAGACAGGGTTGATTGTCTTGTGTATTGGCCTCTTATAATTACAGTTAGCTTTGTTTAATAACAATGTGACTTTTTTTGTAGAGCTCAGAAGTGTATGGATGGAAAGATTGTCCTTGGTTCAAAAATTTCTGTAAAATTTCAGAAAGAAAAAGGGTGTAATTTTCAGAAAACTCCCGGTAATGTGCTACATAAGATTTAAATTTATCATTGAAGTAATAAATGTGATAGTACTGATAAATGTAAATGTATAATATTTATTAGTAATATATTCTTGTAATTTTAGGGAATTCTAAACACAGAAATCGTGCTGCAAGTGAGTCAGAAATTGTTACAAGTTCTCCGAGGCAAATGTACAGTGCAAATGCTTCGATCACGGGTGGAAGAGCCCTTCAGATTCCACATTTTCAGTCATCATCGCCAGTTATTGGAACGTATTCTGGATGGAATTCGGCCCATTATGTTCCCGCTTCAACGCCACTGGGGTAATTTAAAATTATATAATCATGCAGATATTTATAATTTTGAAAAAATGATGTAAATCCGAGAAAGAGCCTTCGAGTCGCGAGTAGATTTTATCCTTGCTTGATTCAGGCTATGAAATTGAAGAAGCTTTGATCTTATCTGATTTAACTTGGAAGAAAATAATAAACATTATTATGAATATTGCAAGAATTAAGAGTACTTTGAATTTATTATTACAGAATTGTTCCACAGCCAACTATTTTTGTTGGTAGGCCATATTCGAATAATAGTAATGTAGGTTTTAATAGAACTTACAATGAACTTGCAAGGGTCCAATCTCCATTATTCTGGCAAATCTCTGGTTCCCAGCAAATTGGTCATATGTGGGAAGAACAATATAAGGTATATCATTTTTCATATGAATCTTAATTTTATGAAAGACGTATCATATAATTTTTTTAAATTTACATTAATTAATAATCACTAACTACAAGGTGGAAAAAACCAAAGTGCTTAGTAGAAGAATTCACATCCCGCAGGCTCGGGATAATGGTGTTACAAATAATGTAGCTTCTCGAACTCCTGAGGGTTTAAGGCGCATCAGGGGAACGCACACTTCTTATGTACAACCTTCAGAGTGGACTGGATCAAGGCAACAACATCCTTCTTTGAATACTTCTACGAGTTTCAATGGAACACATTCTCAATCGAATTTCAAACGCCGGAGTCCGTCTCCGATGTGTGATTTACAATCACGAGAACGAAATCAGTGGAATGGACAGGTATAAACTAATTTAAAACGTGGAGGAAGAAAATTGAACTAGATTATTGTAATTTTTCTTTTCCTTTAAAAATTAGCAGAATGTGTCTGTACGTAGTACTAGGACACCTTCACCTTATGAAAATACAGTACAAACGATGAATCAACAAAGTAACCATACTTCACCTTATCATCCAAGTGATACGGAAAGTGAAGAAGTTGAGGTATATTTGTTTTCTTTCACCTTTTTTATATTATTTTATAAAACTGTAATGATAACAGTTCATTTATTAATATATTAGAAATTCTTCAATCCAATAAACAATCACAATGGCACATTAACAAACAATGATACATGCACACCTATTGAATTACAAGTAACCAACTTAGACCAAAGTATTAATCCCAAAAAAATGAGACATATGCTTGCCTCAATTTTTATGGAACATGTGATGGTAGGTTATTATTTGCTTGTACAATTATGCTATTATGAATATCAATGTTTTCAACTTACATTTATACTGATTTTTAGGTATTAAACGTCTCTATTTTTACACAGTCTGATGGCAACTTTGCCGCAAGTGTCAAAGTACCTTCTTTGTCAGACGCACAATATGCAATTTCTCAATTACATCGTCGTAAAGTAGGATATAAGCGTATTTTAATATCATATGCTCATAGTGGCAGAGCAAGTCCTCAGGTTGTGCGAGCGCAAATCGTAATGCTACTGCAAGAAGTACCTGGTCATAAACTTCCTCTCTTTAAGTTTCGAGAGATGTACGAGAGTCGTTTCATGATTTCCATCAGTGTTTCTGAATTGTACAAAATGAAAGATGTTTGTATTATTACGGAAGATCCTAGTGGTAGAATGGTTTCTCTTAATCCGGATCACAGAAATACTCCATCACCATGTTTTAATAATACAACACAGGTATTTTAAATTCTGTATCGTTATATCGTGTTAATATATGTTATATATGTTATATATGTTAAACTTTACATTTGTGATGACGGATATAAAGCCGAGTTTGAGCTTTTCCAATGAAAGTAGAATTATTGTTCCTTTTACTGTCGAGAAGCTGTGACGATTATTTGAAGCGTTGAAAATTATTCTGAAATAATATGATAAATATGTGATATACAAACGTATAAATTATATATCAAGCATAAACGTGTATATGTATAATTTTTAGGAGGAACAAGTAGAGTTACCATATTGCACTATTCATACTCTTAAACCATGGTCTGACAAAGGATGGGCTGAACAAAAAGTGGCGTCGCTTCCTAATGTAAAAATTTCTTTAAAAGTTCTCGATCCACGTATACATCAATTATTAACTACGCATAATGGATCTTTGCCATTGCCTAGGTATTTTACTATAAATATTTTTTAAATTCCATTAAATTGATTCATCTAACAGTTTCGTTCATAACAAATTAATTTCAGTTTACCAAATTGTTATGAGGCTGAATTTAAGGAGAAATTACAGGTAGCTGAAAATGGAGTACCTTTAGAACATTTAGTGTCTTGCCTATCTTGTGTTGAGCTGAAACAGGGTATGGGTAGCGTAAAGTACCTTATTTGGACCGGCAATAAAATTAACGAAACTAACCATGAAGGTAAAATTTTTAAACAGTAAAGAAATAAATTAATCAACAATTAATTTTCAATCATTGGTATACCATTTTCCTCTTCAGAGAATAAATGTGTGAGCCCTCCACTTGCAAATCAATTAGCACTTTTCAGTCGTGAATTAGTCGATCTTCTGAAAACTGCTCCACACTGCCAGTTGCCATTCAACAGATTTATACCAGCATATCACCATCATTTTGGAAGACAATGTAGAGTCGCTGATTACGGATTCACCAAATTAATTGATTTATTAGAAGCACTTACTCATACCGTACAAGTATGGGAAAAAAATTGAATTTATTAAAGGTAAATTGTATGATGATCAATGCAGTTTTAATTATTTATTCTAGGTAATGGGTGAAGGAAACAGACGCGTGGTTACGTTATCCCATCGTGCACAAGTGCGTCGTTTTACATCTGACTTGTTAAGGGTCTTAAAATCTAAAGCTAGCAAACAAGTAGCACTTTCAGAATTTCCAAGTATTTGTACTAGAGTGTTAGGTAGAGATTTTTTTGTAATTTTAGATAATTACTCACATAATTATGAATATACAAGATAAGCATATGTTTCACAGCTAAAACATGGGATATCGTGGACTATGGAGTATGTGAGATCGAAGACATTCTTAGTGAAGTATCAGAAAATACTGTTGTCGTTACTACGATCAATGGAGGGGATAAAATGATAGCCATTCCTAAACGAGAACAAACTCCGGAAGAGATGGAACGAACAAAACAATTTGCTGTAGAGGTCAAATATAAACCCATTAAAAATATTTTAGAAAATTAACTATATCTATTAATGCAAAAACATTTTCATGATTTATTTAGGTTATAGAAATATTACGACACGCGCCTCAGTGTAGAATGCAATTTAATAAATTTGTCCCATCCTATCATCATCACTTCGGCCATCAGTGTCGTGTATCAGATTATGGTTTTACCAAATTAATCGAATTGTTCGAAGCTGTACCGGATGTAGTTAAGATCGAAGATGATAATTCTGGAGAAAGGCAAATTTCTTTAACAGAAAAGGAAGGTCTTTGTGTACTTTCCGAACAGATATCCAAATTAATTACTCGTTCAAAGGGTTGTGTTAACGTCTCGAATATTGCACAGAATTTTTTACGTCAATTTGGTTACGCATTGAAACCAGAATTATTTGATTGCACATCCGTATTGCAGCTTATGCAAAAACTTGGAGATACTGTAAAGGTATAAAAAACAAATATTGAAATTTATGATTGTACTATATTATAATTCATAATTTATCACTCTTGTAGATTATATATCTAGCAACTGGACCTGTAGTTGTGATGGTAGATAAATCTCACTTACAACAATTAATTTTGCAATGCCGTCGATTGCTGATGGATAAACCACAACATAAAATGCCACTTAAAGAGTTTCAACAATTATATGCTCAGCATTATTTAAAACAATGTAATATAGATGAACTGAAACAAAATTTGTCTAACGTGGTTCGAGTAAGTTATAATTTTTATTTACTGTACATATTTTTTATAAGAATCAAGCAAAACTATAAATGTATGATTTCAGTTTACAACAGTGAACAACGAACAGTTCATAGAACTTACTTCGTTACATTGTTTTGCCTGCAATTTATATCGTGTAATGATGAATTATGGTGGTGCATTAAAAGTTTCGCAATTTGAAGCTGCATATTTGTCCACTATCGGTACCATCTGTAGACCCGCAGAATACGGATTTCAAACAGTTTTTGCACTTTTGCAAGCACTACCTTGTACGGTAACGATAAAACTATCACGACGAAAAAAGAACATCATCTATCTGAATAAAAAAATTGCTGGTATGTGAAAGATTTTTTCGTAATTGTTTTGTAAAGAAAATATGTTATAAAGATTGTATCATTTGATTTTTCTCTTGAGTAGCTGTCGGTATGCCTTTACCACCATCGTACGCATCTACATCATCGTATCGTGACACAGATTCTAGCAATGAATCGTTTGAAAGCGATTCATCTTCTCGTGTTAATGCTTCAAGTAATTCAATTTCGTTAGAGGAACGCGCAAAATGGACAGAACAAATAGTCGAGAATCAGAGTTCCTGGAAACAGATAGATAAAAACAATCTGTGGTCCAAAAAATCTGATAAATCGTGGAAAACATCATCTTCGGAAGATCAATTGGTAAATTGGACATTGCAAGAAAATGGAAGCGAAAGTTTCCTCAAAAGTTTGCTACGAACACCAATTATACCGCATGGTTTTCCACCTCCACCTCCTAAACCAGATTCACCACCTGAGGTACCTTTGATTTAATCAACAAAATATTGATTTTTCATGTGTGCCCTTAATCTAATAGTATAATAATAACAAATCATAGGGAGAATTAAATAAAAATCAGTGGGAATCATCAGTTTGGATGACTCCAACGAAATTTACATATCCAGAGGATGTGCATACTACCCATGTACAGGTAAGTGTACAGGTAATTGTTCTTATAATATTATTTATTAGTGATAGAAGTCAAAATTTCATTGTCTTTTTCCATGTTAATAGGTTCCTCCGTTAACTTTACCTCCTTCCTGGAATCAAATTATATCCGACAATAGTACCTCCAACTTACTATCGCCAACCAAAAATTTATTACCTGCTGCAGCAAATCCTTTAAATCCACGTACTTCTCCTTTCTTTTCCTCTAAGCGTAACATCGTCGTTGCTCCACATCCGTCTGAATTACCGCTTCCTTCGTTGTCCTTAACTCCTAAAAAGATCGTGTCTTCGGAAAATATTATAAATACTGAGGATTTTACGGACAAGCAAGAGAGGATTATCAGTAATTCTATGGAAGAAGTGCCCCTTCAGAGTAATGAAACTGATAGCAATAACACGGAAGGCGACAATGATAAAGAAAAACACAGTACTCCCACAAATCAGTGTTAGTAGTTTTTTAGTAATTTATTATTACTTCGTGTAATTTGTATATTATATTGAAAATAATAGGTGTGTTTTTTTGTTACAGTATTTACCACAAGCAAACGTCGTTTAGCTGCTCAATTTAATCGTCCTATTGAGTCATGAATATAGAGGTATGACAACTATAAGAACGTGTTGTGTACGTTAAAAAAGCAAAAAAGCTGATTGATGAAGAAAATGGATTTAATCGCATCTCGGTAGGCTGTCACACAGTGGGTTCAAATACCTACACACCATTTTTTGAATGATGGTAGGTACCACCCCCTATTTATATATATAAAGTAATACGGTAATAATATATCGATTTGATACATACGGAATAAAGAACAGAATTTATTTTCAAGAGGCATGAAAATATATATATATATATAAATATCTATATACTAAGTAGTTACGATATCTGGTTTAAAAATTGTGAATAAGTGTGCAGCGTTTATACCGAATGATAATGTACTGATTATATTACGTGTCAAATTCATGTGGCATTTTTCATACTGTGATATAGAATAGAAGAAAAAAAAAAAAAAGATAATACATGAGGATGAATTGAAAGTGGGCAATAATTGCGCACATTTCATAGGATTGGGCCAATGTCCTATGTTGAATCCCACTGTGTTTGTTATAATAAAGTTATACCTCCATAAAATCGTATGCAAAGCGAAAACATATTTTTAAAGTCGAATTTTATTCATCATTATAATGCAAACGCTATGTTTTTAAATATTATTTAACAAATTATTTACTATGATCGAGATTTTATTGGCTCAACCCTATTGATAATTGTAAATTATTCTCACAGAAAACGAATTGTATTCGAAAAAATTAACGTAAAATGCTGTTATTTCTCAACAATAATATCGAGTACAATTCTTTTTTATCATTTATTTGTTAACTATAATCTTCATTCGTACAATTATTCCTGTTCGCGTCAAAGATTTCCATTCAATATTGTCTGTTCATTTTTATAACGTATACGATAATATTTTTTAATTATATTATGAATGAATGTGTTTTGAGAATTTTGATGGTGATCGGAGTGCATTCGTATGATATTATAAAGTGTCATATTACTTCTTTGTGTAAATGAAAATGTTTTTAATTAAGGAAATATTAGGTTTAATGTTAATAATTACTATCGAGTAGCTCAAACTCTCGGGAGAATGGGTGAAAATCGTGTAATACACGAAGTGAAATTTTTATGAATTCCATTTAAATTCATTGAAAAGATTGTTAAAATACTGACAGGCAATAAATATTTTATCGAAAGTAAGACAAAAAAAAGAAAAAAAAAAAAATACACGCTCGTGTCAATCAGATTTCAGCATTTAATGTTACTTTTATAACGATATTATTCTAAAATACTTTGTTTTCAGTGCTGAGTGAAAACAGATAGAAAAAAAATATTGATGATGTCATTCGTTATCTACAAAAATACATAATTAGTAGATGTAACACTTGATGTGATTTAATTGCTCTCTTTAAATTATGTATAAATGATCTTCTTGATCTCATATTTTATTTTATTATTAAAGAGTATTTTATATCAAAAATACAGCAGGCGTATCATATCGCGTACACAAGATCAAAAATATTATTATAAACTGCTAAATGAAGTAGTTGCCACTCCAGAAACTATACTCTAAGTTTGATACATTGCTTTGTATGTGTTGGAAAAAATGAAAAAGTTATGAATCGATCTAATGGTATTAAAATTTATAATTCATTAAACAACAGTCATATATGTTACTATTTCTAGAAAGTTTCCTAAATCTAATTTGTATTAATTTATTGAAAAATGAAATAGTTTTGTTACGTGTCATATTTATTATGCAGGAATGAGTTCTATTGTATTTTATACTTACGTGAAAGAAGTGATCATTTTTACTTTATTTTTTGAATTGTGCGAATTTGTCAGTTTAGATTTTCTATTAGTCATGATAAAATTACTTTTTATATTTTAAAATACTTTTATTATATGAATCAAAAACTTTTAATATTATGCACTTATATTTTCCTAAGTATTCATTGTATAAAACATTATTTGTAGTAAATTTTATTTAACATACTTTGTAATAACATTCCGACTAATAGAAAATTAAATTGGCCTTTATACAAAGAATGTCAAAACATGTATAATGCTGTAAAAATTACATAAGAAAATTTTATTGTAATAACAAATATAAAAGAAATTGTAAAGTATAAAA